ACTGGTAGTTCTTGAGCTACAGGTTGGAGTGTGTATGGAGTTTAAAAACAAAGTGGAGCACTAACTGTATTAGCTCCTGATGTCACAAGCTGGAACTGCAGCTGGAGTGTTTTCTGTTTGAGAGAAGATAAAGCCTAAATATGCAGGTTTTGCATGTTAAACATGAGTGAATGAAGCAAAACACAACTCCAGGTATGTTTTTTATGGGGAAACAACATTATCTCCATTAAAATTTCTAATGGAGACGAACTTTGACCCTTTTTGTTTACAGTTTTGTTGCTCTGGTATATATCCTATTATTTAATAAACCTTTATTGGATTGAAGTTATTGCTTCCTGAGTAATACAATTGTTTTAAATGTAAGTGGACCGAACCAAATGGCTGCAGACTGCACATCACTCTGCCACACTATACCACTTTAAAGTATTTATTTGGTATGAAATTTGTATATAGATTGTATATAGAAACATTTCAAATAACTAACAAATGTTAACTAACAAAATTTGCTATAACATAAAAACAAAGACTAAAAATAACATAATCTGAGAGCTTTAAACTGCAAGAGGCTACATACAGTTCCGTTAACTTAAGCACATTGTCCATTATCTTGTTGCTCGACTGTGAGACAGTGTGTATTTTGCTTCCACTGCAAAACAATTGCCCCTCTGGGACCTATAATAAAGTACTGGAGTTAAAGTAAAAGTACATCTAATCTGTATTTGCAGTGCACCTTCTCTGTCCGTACACATCAACCAGCAGAGGGCATCAGAGTGTGCGTGATATACAGATCCTGTACTACACCGTGACAGCCCCAACACTGATGTACTCCACTGTGCTCACGCCAATGGGATATCGATCCAGCCTCTGCTCCGGCGCGCTAATGCTCTCTGTCTCTCCTGCGTTATAAGCCACATACATCCATAATCTAATACAGAACATACAGAGCAGGTTTCATCCTATACACCACTGAAACAGACTCCAGGTTTTAATTAACAGCTGCAGAAGTGAGAAAGTTCGTGTCAAAACCACCTCCTGTGCCTCAACAGACTCTATTGATTTGGAAACCTGTGCATAAACATTTTACAGAAATAGCGCTGCTGAATAAACCAGGGATCATTCTAGTCACAATATCTGTATCTCAAAGGTTTTAAAAAGAGGTAATGAAGCAATATTAGGCTACTTAATCTTAAAAATGCCTTGACATGCCATTAGTGCAATCAATTTTGAGTATAAATTATTAAAGTGTTATGACAGATTAGTTTACTTATTTTTGATCTAACAAGATTTTTGCAAAAACATTCACCCTCGTTTTTTCCCCACAATTTAATCATTTTTAGATTTACACTTCAAAAAGTAATCTCGAAGTAAAGTAAAATGGCTTAAATTAAGAAAATGTTACTTTATCTGAGTAGATTCAGTTTGACAATTATCTCCCAATGTTTTTCTGAATTCTAGCAACATTAGATTTTGTTTCTTATTTTAAGTGCAAAAAGTTGTTGTTTTTCTTGTTTTAATTGTAGCAAGATGTGTTTTCATATTTTAAGTACAATAAAATCTTGTTCCACTGGCAGATAATTTTACTTTTCAAATGAAATTTACTCAAATCATGATAAAACTTTCTTATTTAGAGTCATCTTAACTTAACATCTTATCTTAACAAGATTTTAGTTTTTTCAGTGTTTGGAAATTGTGATATCACTCTAGGGAATTCCAAAACTTTTACCTAGCAAAACTCCTCTAATGTACACAGAAATTATTGCCTGACAAATATAAATATAAGAAAATGGCTTTATTTTGTTGAAAATCATGCTTAAAGATTTTTTATTTTTTATTTTTTTGATTCTCCCTGTGAAATATCCTAGTGTTTTCAACATATTTTTGAGCTTTTCTTCATAAATTGCTTCTTGATTGGTGTAAAATTATAATTTATATTCAGTTATTAATCCGACCAAACTAAATCAAAATTAGAGAATCATACAAATCTGTCATCTGTTATTAACTGTATTATGATAAAAAATGAAAGTAATTTCTACATTGGAAAGGAGCAAAGGATTCTGGTCAATGCAGTTTGCTCTTCTAACCAAAAACCAAGGCTGACTTTAATTAAAGGTGCAATCTTTGTTTTGCCTGGAATTTTCAACGACGTGGCATTAAACAAATCCATTTCCAACGAAGCAAGCACTACAAGGCCAAGTTACAGCTCAGATCTATGGAGAGGTGACTACGCTGACAATAAGAATGCATGTTTTTAAGGTATTAGGAGCAATAAAAATACCTGAAATTACATACTAAGTAACATTCCAAGCAAAGTAGCGGAGATGGAGACAGTTAGTTGGTTAACCATTATACCTGAAAAGTTGCATGGTACACCTTTAAATGTAAAACAAAACAAAATGATGAAAAGAATGACCAATGTTGAAACCTTTTCTACATCAAACCATGCTTGTCTCTTTAATTAAATGGATGTCATCTCTTCATTAACATATTGGCTTTAAGTAGACTAGATTAACTTCAGATATTTGCTTTGCCTCAACATAATATTACAAAATAAAATCAAATGAGATCATAAGCTACATTTCAGGTCAGCATGTACTTCTTTAGGTTAGAATTTGTTGCAGTAACCAAAACAACAGACAGTTTGATCGTGTTCAGTTCATGTTCATGATTAACGACCTGACGGATATTATCACCAAGACATCTGCATTTTCTGCTCGCTACTGTCAGTCTGATTCATTTCTAAAGTCAAAGTGAGCAGCATCCACACATTTCTCTAAAGCATCGTCACCACGGCAACAGCAGCATCCCACTCCCTCACCGCTCTCAAGTAATGTCTGCGAAACTAATCTGCATTGATTTGTGTATTCTTAACATCATTAGAAGTGGTAGAAAGCAATAGATTAATGATTTTTTTTAAATATGGACTTACCAAATTTCACTAGATGCTCCTTTATTAATGTGGTCACAAAAAAACATACTATAGGTCTACTATTATTCATGGGTTTTAGCTTCCTGTTTTTATACATATAACCGTTTCTAATCTGAACCATACAGAAATACTGTCTAAATGGTTTGCTTCTCAAATTTGTAAAGTTATGTGCATTTCCCATTGTCAAGCAAAAAACAGGCCAATACTGCCCCCTGCATTTCAAAACGGGCTTGTTCACTTCACCACAAACATTTGATAACCTGGGATCTGTTTTTTATGCATGCCTTTATTTGATTTTGTTCATATTTTATTCATAGTTTTATGTTGCACCACATCATTTGGGGCAATAACTATAAAACCGCAATAGAAACATTGATAAAAATTCCAAAAAAGAGCAATAAGAATTATTTATAATGTCAAATTTCATAACCACACTAATCCACTGTTTATTCTCACTAAATTACTCAAATTGAATTGAAAATTATTTGATTCTGTATGAAACTGTACAAGTGTATAAAGCTAAAAATAAGCACACACCAAAAAATATCCAACTACTTTTTTGTGAAAGGGAAGGAAACTATATACCTACCAATATATATATGTATGTATGTATGTATGTATGTATGTATGTATGCATGGGTATGTATATGTGTATATAATGTGTATGTAGGCATGTATATATTATATCTGTGTATATGATGTGTACTATATCTGTGTTCATAATATACATATATTGTTGTTGTTGTTAGATTTATAATGCATTGCAGGTACTGTGCAATTATTGCTTATATTGTACAGGAAATGAGAAGTCTATATGTGTTCTTTGTTAATTTGGGAGAAAAAAGGGGTGGGGTTAAATAAGTTTTTACTTCCTCCCTCTCCTTTTTCGGACACAAGGAAAATTTGGCGTAACATTTATTTTGCCTGTTATTATAGAACAGAAATTGTTACTTTTTGTGTTATATCTATATATTTACGTTTTTATTTATGTTCTATGTATTACTGTCTGAATAAACATTCATTCATTCATCACCAAAGCAACTTCCTATTGCGAATTTTGTTCACTTCCAATGGCAATAAACTTCTGATTCTGGACAAATCATCATCTTTTTCATTTTAAAACACTATCACTACTTTGATTTACATGATGTCAGTGAACAGTCTTATCTTATGGATCAGATGAGTCAGTTGATTCACTGTCAGAATGATGTGGGGTCTGTGTCTCTCGTGTGAAGGAGGTGAAGGAGGAAGTAGTGACCTGTGTTAATTATTCCCAGTGGAGCTCAGACGTAATGCAGATCGGTAATGTCCGCTCATTTGGACTCATCTGCAAAACCGCGGTCACTTTAATAATGAATACTAGAACAAGCTACTGTTTATGTGTTTGTTTATTGTGTTTATTTAGCAATTTTGTTTATTTAAAACATACTGTAAAAAGAACATTCAGAAAACATACATATTTTTAGACCCTGATTTACTTAAAACAAAAAAATATATACACATACATAAATATTTATATAGGCTGTTTGACAGTGCTCATTTCATAGGACAGACATTTTAAAACATAATATAGATATAAATACATTTACAGATAATGCATTGATCTGGAACCACTGATTTAATATTAGGCCAAGAAAGAATCAACATTTTTGAGAACATGTTGCAAAAACAAAACACCTTGAATCACAATAACCATTATTTTCTGGTAATTTAGACTTCTTAATTTTGATAAACTATTGTATTTATCTTTAATATGCATTTTCTGTGCTCGAAAAAAAGTTTTTCATAATAATATTTTTTCATAATTTTCATAATAATTCATAAAAGTTAAGTCAAAATATTTTGTCAAGTTTTATAAAGACTACAAAACATACAATACACAGTATTTATTATAAACAGCAACCACCAAATCAGTAGATGATAAATACCCACAAGTAAAGCTGTAGGCCTAGATCTGAAACTGTAAAGATGATTTATTGAAAAATATTCAAGTCTTTTTCCATTCTTAGTTCTCGTTTTTTCCAGTGCTATGAAATAGTGTAGACTGCACACTTGTCCAGGCTGACGCGGTGTGCACCATTGATCTTATTCACAGAGGAGTAACTCACAGTGCGGTACAGGAAAGTCTTTGGTTCTGCGTTTTGTCCTTCTCCCACACACCTCCCGGGCCCTTTTCCTGAAGTCTTTCCCCACTATCACTAAGAGCAGGGGGTTTATCGCACTGTTACTGTACGCCAGATATGTCGACAGCTGAATGCCTATGTCCAAAATGTGACCCCAAAGACAACTTGGGGTCAACCCAAAATAATCCAGAGTGTCCAGGAAGCTCATGAGCTGGTGCGGGCCCCAACAGACCAGGAAGACCACCAGCACCGCCAGAACCAGATATGTGGCTTTCTTCTCCGATCTCAGACTGGGCGGACCAACCATCCCTCCATCTTTTAGAGAAGCAACGATATGTTTAGTACAATAAACCATCAACAGCACTGGGAGAACAAAGCAAAGGATGTTCCTAGCAATGTTTGGGTACACAGTCAATTTCGGTTCAGGGTAGGCCAGAATACATGCATCAACTCCAGCCTCTTCTTCATAGCGTACAGTCCGGTAGATAAGAACAGGTAGACTGAAAACAAAACCGAGCAACCAGATGATCAAGCAGAATCGTTTTGCCCAAGAACGCCTTCTGAATGGACTTATGCTCATTGGTTTGACGAGGGCCATGTAGCGGTCGAGGCAGATCAGGGTGAGGAAGAAGATGCTGCAGATGTAGTTCATGAAGATGGCAACGTTGACGATTTTGCAGAGGAATTCGCCGAAGTCCCATTGGTAACCACGAGAGATGGTGAGGGCCCAGAAGGGGAGGCAGGTCATGAGAACCAGGTCGGCAAGAGCCAGGTTGCCCAGGTAGATATCAGCCACACTGCAGGGCTTTCTCTGGAAGCAGAAGACCACAAGCACCAGCAGGTTCCCCAGAAGACCTATGGCTGAGAGCAGGCCCAGGTAAAAGGGCTGCAGCCAGGAGAGCCAGAGCCACGCCGCAGTGTAGGGCTCACACATGTCCAGCTCCATGATAATGGAGGAGGTATTCACTGGCATCTGTCAGAACAAAACAATCAATACATTTACTCTATGCAGTGCACTATGTAACTTTTGCAAAACATTTGACATTTTCACTGTTTTGATTGATTAAAATGGGTTCCGTATTAACTTTGCACAAAAGAAGTGGTTTAACAAAGACTTTTAGTATGATTTAGTCTTTATTTTTTATTGAACCGTATTGAATCGATTTGAAATATATTGTATTGGATCGAATCATAAGCTCACTGTATCGAGGTATGTATCGTATTGGTAACTTCTGAATGATACCCAGCCCTATTCAGTATGGCAATAAATGTATCCGTCCCCATGGAAACAAGTAAGTGATGCCACTAGGACAAGTTACAGGTCAGATCTGTGGAAATTAAGAGTCTACTCACAATAAGAATGCATGTTATTATTTGCAATAATAACATGCACTGCAATGTATTTGCAATATACAAACACCCATAGAAAGTTTAGTTTCACACTATGGACCATTTTAAGCAAAGAAAGAATATATCCATGGAGACAGTTGAAGGTTAAGCTTTCTCCATAAAAGTTACATAGTGCAACTTTATTTTTGATTCAAAAATATAATGCATTATTAAGAATTATTCATTCATTTCAGCTGCTCTTGGCAAGACTGACAAAAATAAGGGTGCACCTATAGCTTGCTTGTCACACTCTGGAGGGGTAAAGTGTTTTGCTCAATGACACAATAGTGTGCACTGGTCAGAGCTGCATTCAAAAGTCAGTTTTTTGTTTATGAACAAATACTCCACTAAGCCACTGTCATCCATTTTTAAAAAACTATTTCCCTTCCCTGGCCCAACTTTTTTTTAAGCTATGGTATGTAAATAACATAGGATCAACATATTCACCCATACAAGAATATAATCAGTGCATTACAACTTTTTGACCAACTTTTGACTGTCAAGAACCATATTCAAATGTTCAAATGTTTCTCAGATATATTAGAAATCATTCAACAAAACTCACCTCTTCAGCCTCCATCCAGACGCAGCAGGAATGTGTAGAGCTGGTGGTGCGGCTCTGCTCTTGGTCATATATACAGACCGGGCCTGACGTCACACTGTCTCTCCTTCTCCCTCTCTCGCTGGTTCTCTCTGTCTCTCTGTCCATGTGCAGTGCTGTTCATGTGGAGAGTATGTAGCCCCCACCTCTAGCACTGACTCACCACTGACTGGACCTCAGATCTGATACACACAAGCAGGATCCAGACGATTGTGTAAAATGAAGAAAGGAAAGTATGTGATGAAGAATTAAGTGTGAGCATTTGATTTAGACCAGGAATCTCCAACCAGTAGCTCTCCACCCATTCCAAGCAGCTCGCCAAAGGATTTCAGAGTTATATGTATTGTACCTAATAAATAAAACTGGATTAATTACCACTGTAAATGTCTTATTTTGATGCCTAACTTCTGCACTTTTAAATGGATAATGGTTTATGTTTAATAGGCGACTGCTAAAATGAGTCGCTGTCCAGCATTTTTGTTTCATAAAGGTTGCTCACCAGAGGAAAGACCCGTGATTCACAGTAAATACAGCTACTGATAATGTCCACCTTCCAAAATGCACTGGGTTACATAAACAAATACCTTCTGGAATAAAAGTTTAGTATGTATGGCACTGACAGTCATTTTTATCAATACATTAAAGGCGCTGTACCTGAATCAATGTATCATTCGTTCATTTGTTTTTCAAAATAAAACCAAAAATAAGAAAACAAAAAAATAACAATTTTCTTCATTTTTTGTCTCCAAAAAAACAAAAAAACAGATAATGATTGAGTTTTCGATTTTGTGTTTAAATTAATAATGGTAAAAACAGATAACGGCCATTTCCTATTTCCGTGACTTAAACTGTGATGCCGGACTTTCGCCCTGGATTTGGACTGAACCAGGACTGAACCAGGACTGAACCAGGACTAAACCAGGACTAAACCGGTCTCAGCCCTAATCTCAGTCCTGATCTCAGCCTCGGTCTTGTCCCAGTCTGGTCTCTGTCTCATTTTTGATCACCAGACAGTGTATGCAGGCACACCTCCAGGCCTGTCCTGGCACTCAGTCCTGGCACTCAGTCCTGGTTCAGTCCTGGTTCAGTCCTGGTTCAGTCTGGCATCGCAGTTTAAGTAACTCAAACGGAAAACGGCCGATTATCAGTTTTTTCCATTATTCATATAAACACAAAATCAAAAACTGAAAAAACAAAAAATAAAAACAAACAAAACAAATTCGTTATCCATTTTTTCATTTTGGCTTTGGAGATAAATAATAAAGAAAATTGTGTTGTTGTTTTTTTTTCATTTTCTTACTGTTGGTTTTATTTTGAAAAACAAATGAACAAATGATACATGGATTTATCTGATTTGTACTGTCTTCAAAAATGTGGAAAAAAGAGAAGTAGTTCATTATAAACAGTGGTCTGAAGTTATTCCTAACTAACCTTATGCATTCTGAGCATCCTAATTATTCACCATGATGAGTGTATAATCGCTTTTCAGCTAGCATACTAATGTGCACTTCCTGATAGACAGTAAAACACAGATGCCAACAGCACACAGTGGACATATTTTGACCTCGAGAGCTGCTTATGCAATATATCTGTACTGAGGCAAGATAAGTTTTGCTCAAATACAAAAATAAATCCCAAAAGACTTAGATATTGTTTGTTGTATTTATAGCAGACATATTTCTTCATAATGCTGATAGTAATTCAATTCAACAATACAATATAATACAGTATAATAGAATAATAAAACACCATGGAATAGAGGTGTTTTTATTTCTCAAAAATATTTCAAAAACTTATGCATCCTTACTCAGACCTATCCTACCGATTCCTACCTATACCTCCCTTTCTGTCAATCTAAACCTCTTATTCTCTTATTGAAATATGACGTCTTTGTGGTCATCGACTTAAATGGACAGCTTCAGGCATGTTCTTGCAAATCCAATAACCAGAAACCAGAGCCCACGCAAAGCTCTCAACGATTACATTAGAACGACATAGGATGCTGTGGGGGGCTTATTCTGTCACCATACTGTGTACACTATATCTTTGCCTACGCTGGTGAGCATATGTATATTTGTATGACTATCATGACCTGGTTTACTGATTCTAGACTTTTAATACAGTAGATTCATCATGGGTAGGAATGTGCATATCTCCCACACTCAAAGAACCACACAAGAAGACAGATTCTGGGAAGACACAAGTTTATCTGATCAAACAAAAAAGTGAAAAATAGATTTAAACATTGGTCATTAAGAGAGTTAGAATGACTGAAGAAGGATACTTTGACAGCGTGTTTGTGTTGGTGTGTGATTTATTAGACACCTATCCTGGAAACACTTAACAATAAAACCACACAATTTACAGTTACATTTTGGGACAGAGCCAGCATTTTTGCAAAAGGAAGTTTATTTTGAGAACACCCTTCAGATGAGGAAATTTGGATTGGAAAAGGTTATGCAACTGATTCTACCACATGCACGATGCTGTGGGTTTGTTCACACAGAGCCAAAACAGGTCACCAAAGGTTGTCAGTGAAGGGAAAAGGTGTGCTCTATTTAGCTCATGCTTGGACATTTATAGGTCAGTTTTAAAGCTGCCACCCATAAGTGTATATGATTTTTTTTTAACCAGTAGATGGCAGATGTGAAACCAGTTCCCTCCTGCCCTCACCTTTGTTCAGTCTCACCTGTGCTCTCTGGTTTTCTTCTGTCAGACCAAAGATGGCACACTATCAGATTCAGTAATGTAGACAAAATCTAGTGGTAAAATGTGACAAAACAACAGGACTGGATTGGCCAGGCTAATAGTTTCAGACAGTAGTTTTAACACGTTTATTTTTTTTTACCTGGGCTACAGTCCAGGAAGCCACACGGGGAGGTGGTTATCTCTGAGCAGCTGAGCATCTCTCCTCACTATTTTGGAACTATTTACAGTTGTACTTCAAATATAATCAAGCATTCTAAATCTAGCTGCAGTTTTAATCAAAATGACTTCATGTCATATTTCATTTCAATATGTCAGGTTAGTGCAATGTGAGGAGTTCCAATACACGTGTGAGGGACGCCTCAGGAACTCTCACCCTGGACCTTCAATGAATTATTATTTTAAATTATTCATTTCATGTGTTCATTCTTGTAGGTAAAACATATTCTGCACAGAAGCTTTTGGAGTGCAGCATTCCACATAGTTTTTGTTTTAGTCCTCTGCTCTGTCACTATGGCCTATATCACTGCGTCACGACTCTTTCTACATTTGGTCACTTCCGAGTCCAAAAGCAGCGATCGCAGACACCTGTGTTATTGTCCTGATCTGAGCCAGCTCTTCTGTTCAGCCTCTGTCATCACCAGTAACAGCTCTATTTGTGGAATAGTTTAAAGTATTAATGTCATAACATTGTACATGTTCCATTTTTATACTGCATGAAGCTTAAACAGAACTTTTGGCTGCTCAGATATTCTTATCCTTAATCATAGCTGAAGTGGTCATGCAAGTAAATCAAATGTATATTAAAGCTGCACTGTTAACTTATTGACTGTGTCCATGGAGATGTTGTTGCTGATAGTGTAAGTGATGTAAATGGTGAAACGCCACTGCCAAAATGTGTTCAAACGACAGAGAATAGAATTGGATTTGTTGGTGTTCCCATGGGATTTTTAGCCAACAAAAACAATTTACACAACAGAAATATAACTTAATTTTAAAGACAAAGCTGTAAAATGGTAATAAAATAAATTTGGTGCATTTTGAAGAATGTTTTGGTGTTGAAAATATTTAACTGGGTAATTTTCTAGTGAAATAGAAAAAGTCCAGGATTGTGTATTTTGGAGGTTTAGCAATACTTCATACTATCACTATGACATAATGGGTTAGTCTTAGTCTTGCCTGGTGCTTTGAAAGACATTTTTAATTATGAATCACTGAATTGGTTTGAGTTCATCTGAAATACCATAGTAGAATCCAGAAGAATAGTTAAAACTGAGCTGGAGGACAGGTCAGAATTCTGTGGCAGATTTGCTTGTATAACTGTCAAATTGTGATTTTCTTGACTTGGTTTATGGTCAATATCTCTGTAATTACTGGGACTTTATTTCTACATGAAACAAAAATTGCCACAATAACTTCAGAAAGTGGTGCTATTATTCAACCCCAAACGTGACATAAAATTGATACAGCAAGTTTGTGGAGCCAATCCCTAACAAATAATGATAAGGTTCAAAGTTATCATCGTCTTTAATCTCCCATAGAGTTATATAGGCTGCCTAGAATGTGAAAGCCACCTATTGAACTGTCCAGTCATCAGCAGGTGAACGCGTAGACCACACCCACCACCACGATGTTCCCGATGGTGGCAGTGATGGCGATCCACAGCCAGAGTGCGTCCCTGAGCCTGGACGGGGGCTCTTCGGCCTGGCTCACGGCGGACATGGAGGGTGTGCGCACGCTGAACGACGAGTTAAACAGGGACTGGTCTGTGCTGTAGTCGTCTGTGGGAGAGGAGTCCATGAAGGCGCCCGTCATCACCGGGATCTATGGCAACCACAAAGAAAAAGTTACTAATGGCTCATGTATTTATTAACGATACACTGTGCAGCTTTTCTCATAGAGGGCACGTCACCTGCTTGTCTCCATGGAGTTTTTTTTTTAATTTGTTACAGGTCAGATTTATAGAAAAGGTGATCACACTTACAGTGTTATATATCATTTTACAAAGGTATTTTACACATCTTTAACATAGATTGAGTCAAAATAGTCTGAGATAAACTGCCATATGTTTTGTATTTATTGTTAGTTAATTTGCTTTTTTTACTACATGAGAGATCGACTTGGAGCTTATGTGGTTTGTCTGAGTGTCCTCACGCTGTGTTCATTCACACCTCCTGCTGTTGTGATGTGTCAGCACTGCAAACACGGGCTATCACAGTCATTTAAATTTCCAAGTCAGGTTTTTTTTTTTTTTTCAGCCCGTACTTACCAACAGTCTATGATCCACTTGGGACTTCAGCAGAATAATGGGTGTTTTTATTTTTATTTTTATTTAATTTTTACAGTAGTAGAGAAGTTTATAAATGTCCAGCAATGTAACTTTTGGAGGTGGCACATGACCTGCATGATTTAATGGAGATGGAAATCATACAGTGTTTATATACTTTATTGTATTTATATTTTATCCATCTCAGTGGATGCATTTTATGTCCTACTGTGAAATACTATAGCCAACTTTTGGCAGGGGTGATTGGAAATGCTTATGGCAGATTAATACCCTCATCTCCATCAGTCTACCCCGGGGCAGCTATGGCCATGAAGTAGTTTAGTATTACTGAGAATGTAGTGAATGAGTAATGGAAGGTAATGGAAAAATGGAAAGTAAAGTGATGTACAACTGCTAGTCAAACGTTTGGACACACACTAATTCATAGTTTTGTTTTTTGTTTAGTTTTTTTTGTTTATGTTTACTACTTTCTAAATTGTACAAAAAACAACAATATGATTGAATATATATATATATATATATATATATATATATATATATATATATATATATATATATATATATATATATATAGAGCGGGAAAAAAGAAATACATATTTTTTAAAATATATATTACATGCAAATACTGTGTGTCCACCATTTGCTTTGTTGACAGTGTTGCAAACCCTTGAGCATTTCTCAAAGAGCTTTATGATTAAGTCCCCTAACATGGTTTTCAGTACACAGGTCTACCATGTCAGGGTCAAAGAAAGATCAAAACAAAAGGTGGCTATTAAAAAAATTTTAATCTGGAAAAGTGTGAGAATATACAGACTTTTGACTGGTAGTGTAAATCAAAAGCATTAAAATTATATTATTATTAGAACCTGAAAGCGACACACTGAGGAAACGCAGGCTCCAAAAGTGACAAAGAGCCTTAATGACCTGTGCACTGAGATTAAAAGGAGCCGGTCACATCATTTGTCATGTGTAAAGTACTGCTTAATAACATATTAATATGGCCATTCGTCATGTTGGCTGAGTTAAAATGTTATAATGATAGTTGTATGACTTCCATCTGTGAACATACGCATCACAAATACACTTAAAATACAGTTTAAACTAGTAGGGCTCAAGTGTGTAAATATTTGTACTATTTTTGCCCGTGTCACTAGTGAGACTGGCTGTTCCTCTGTATTTGCTTAGCCCTCTGCAAACCTTAGGGGCACTAGTGCACTCAGCTGGGCACTATATGAGTTGTCCTGTGGTGCACTTAAAGCTGTGTTCTTTTCAGCGGACACTTATCGCTGGGAGAAATGTTCCTTTTCAAATAAAAGAACCGGATGCTATCAAGCAAAATAAGCCCTCAGCAATTTGCTCTGGTGCTCTCATAAAAGGTAAATAAATAAAAGATAAATAAGATAAGAACATGCACAAACACAATAAAGAAAAAACATAAAAATTTTAAATACATTTGTGAAGAAATTATATATTAAAATGAATATTTTTCAAAAAACAAAAAAGAAACAAAAACAAAAAAACAACAGACATAAAGATTATACAACTATTTACAAATAAACACAATTCAGTATAAAAGAGTAAACACTGAACAGTTAAAGAACGCACTTTTCAGGCCATTCATTCTGCAAAAGAATTCAATAGCAGTTTAAGAACTCTTATGTGCTGTTAGAAATGGAAAATTACATTAAAATTAGGATGTGTGTCTTTATCAACAACTCAATAGCTCTGATAATAGCTATAGTGAATAATAAGTCAAATTCACTTTATAATTCATTTTAGTTAGTCTAGTCTTGGCCTCACCTGGAGATCTGTGTCTACTCCCTCCATTAGATGTGTGTAGAGTTGTGTTGTTTACCTGTGCTGCCATAAAGGACAGGTCCATGATGGAGTAGTTTTTCAGATGTTGTTCCTTGACCGAGACTGGAGCTGAAGACCTGCTGCTACATTCTCCTCACAGAGTCTATCTTCTAAGAGCACTCACAAGTCACCACAGGACAGTGCAGAGGCCAGGGACGGAGGGGGCTATGAAAGAGAGAGAGGGGAGAGTGGGGAGAGGGTATGGGTATAGACAACACATCTTTCCCATCACCAATGTAGCTCAGTTTTAATCTTGACTAGTTCATGATGATCCAAATGTGCTCAGACTTCTCTTTTACCAAGAATTTTTCATTTGTAAAATCTGTCCTTGGACAAGACATTTTAGCCACATTGTGTACAGTATTGACACAATAGAAGTGTTTTGCTAAAATTTCAAAATTGATTTCCGCTCTAAGTAAAAGGCTCAATACTTGATACTGATTTGACTCTTTTCAGAAAATAAAGTAATTTTCAACACAGGATTAACAGTAGTTTATTAATATTAACAAACACTTTGACTTTCAAAAGCTTTTCAGGAAAGGATCATTTTTCTCTGGTGCATATAATTCTTTTCAGCATCAATACTTGTTCAAATTAGTACCTAGTTTTTATATATATTTTAGTATCGATAGTATCTGGATAGCGATACTTTTGACAAACCTACTCAGTGTGACACCAATGGTGAAAAAAGGTACAGCAGGCATAAAAATAATATAGCATAGATGCACTGTGGAGTGTGGAGAGATCATAGTAAGAAATGGAAATGCCGCACGCATTTGTGCAATTCATAATCCAGCCACAAGGGGTCACACCCCACTGAGTCTTTTGTGATTTATTTAGTTCCATGAGCCGGCATCCTCCTTATACATATTCTACTATCAGTCCTGTCTCATCACTACAAGCAAATGTGGCAGTGTTATATCTTCACCATATTTAGTTTGATGTTTTGTTCAACAAAATACCAAACTATATTTTATAAAGACACTAAAATGACACAGTCAATTCTAAAGTGAGGCAATAGTTTTTCATGAATTAATTTTACATGAGAAAAGCAATAGTATGTACAAAGAGAAAACATTTGTGCTGCTGTACAAATCTACAGTGTATTGGTTCCCTCTAGTGTCCCAGATGTAGAATACAGTAACAACAGTGCTATTTCCAAGGTTTAGGATTAGATCCATTTCTGCTGTTTTGGCCTCACAGCTGTAAATTAAAACCACGCCCTTATGCATCACTTGAAATTGAGCTTCTGATTACCTCACTCAAAAGATGATTATTAAAAAAGTTGCATAAGCAGTATTTGAGGATGTTTATTTATAGGAGCAAAATATCCCCCGTGGCACTATCTAGAGAGCTCAAGCTGAGTGAGAATGTTCATGTTGACTGTGGGTGTGCACACCAGACAGCAGACAGCTCCACTTAAGACGGTAAGCTTTTAATGACTATTTGGACATCAGGGCCTCATTGAGGATTTGAGTAGACAGGAGACATCCCACACAGAGATTTGCCTGAAATCATTTTGTGAATTACTTCCACAAGGGTTTAAGTACAGTCTGGAGCACAGAGTTATTCTTCAGTCTTCTTCTGAGCCGTCACCAGCTCTTTGACCTGTGGGGTCAGAGCTTGGATCTGGGCTCGGATCTCCTTGGTCTCCTCATCTGGCTGGTCCCCTTCTCCTCCCTCCTCCTGTTTGCGGCTCACCAGCTGCTTCACCACCAGGCTCTGGTACGACGTCAACAGCTGCTGCTGCTCCTGTGGCACAGTAACAGACAGTAAAATCAACACTCCTCCACATGTAACACCTCACATTCAAACAGAGGGACAGCAGCAGTGTTTTATCTACCAAAGCATAACCATGACCGCTAAATCAGACAACAGAGCACAGTTGTTATTTCATATGGATTTACCGTTAGGCAAAGCTCTTGATTCACAATCCGCTAACCACATGCATTCATTTTTGTGCACATACAGGGCTTTAGACCAGTTTTTTCAGATGATGAAGTGAAGCTGGGGAGTCCTCCCAGAGCCCACCCAGAACCTGTGAGCATCCCCCTGCCCTGTGGGTGCGTACCGTAGAGATGCGTCCGGTGAGCGTGCCGATGATCTGGGGCACACAGCGGCCCGGGGCATGGAGCATGTTCTGGGTACAGGCCTGGAACAGCAGCACACTGGTGAGGTGTAGAACCAGAGCAGGGTCCTCTGTGTCCCTGAGCTGCTCCAGGAGGGCCTGTCTGTGCACGAACAGGGTTTGTCTGCATACAACACACACACACAGCACCATTACCAGGACGGACGCTAAAAGGTACACTGCTGTATGGCCTTTTCAGACATTCATAAATTGGTGAAAAAGAAAAGTGCATTTTACCTCTCCTTTTTTTTATCGGCCTTCTTCAGCATAAAGCCACACACCTCTGCGGAGCTCTCGATATTTGTCAGGAAATCTTCAATAGACTAAATAAACAGCACACAAAAGGATTAATTCAGAACGGATCTCTTAAAAAGAAAAAACAATCAAAACACAGGCACAAATGGTGTTACTATTACAGGGGTTACTGTAGTAGTGTATAATGCAATATCAGAACAGGATTTTCAAACTAAATATGTACACAGCTGAGGACACTGCTACAAACCTGTAGTACTACTCAGGACACGTGTTAATGGCAGAACTAAGAATTGTGAAACTCACTTTTCCATTAAGAGCATTGTGCAGTTTCATCAGGGGCCCTTTTGTCTCATCTGGGAGTTTTCCAACGATCTTCAGTCGAACCTAAAACAAAACAGTAATGAGATAAAACCTGGCATACTGTACAGCTCTAATATTTCAGTCTGAATCAGGATGACCTCTGACCTCAGGAGTGATGGAGCTGGGGTTCTCCACAGACATCATCATGTCTGCAGCCAGGAAGTTGACCAGGATATTGGTCACATCTGTGCACACAGTTTTCAGCACATGTTTAGCAATGTGCACCTGGGTCTCATCTGCAAGAGAAAAATACATTTTAACCTGAAGGTTGAGGCATGGTATTCTAAAAATTGTGAAGCCTATTGACAGTGGTTTACCTGAGAAGGCTTTGGTGCCCTTTTCAAAGAGCCGGATGTTGTTGTAGAGACTAGAGATCTCCTCCTGCAGGTCCTTCATGCTCTTTTTTTTGCTGGGGCCTGATGGAGAGCTGCTGGACGACATGAAGACTGTGCGCAGAACCTCCTGGTAGTTTTTAGTCAGAGGCCTGTGGGGCAGAGCTGTTAGAGGAGGGAGAACTAGGTAAAGGTAAGAATAAATTTAGGATGACTGGACTGACCGCTGCAGATGCTCTGCCAGCTCTGAGAGGATGTCCTCAGGACAGTCTGTGAGGCGCTGCTCCAACACAGTTATGATCTCATCCTCTGCCATGAATGGGACTTCAGTCTGTTTGTTACGATCTGGACAAAAAGGATAAAATCAACTTTATATTATTTGAAATGTACCATTAAAGTAAATAAGCAGGTCCTTAAAACAGGTTGCTAAATTAGCATTGATTCCTGTTCTTTACATACTCTGCTGAGTAGACCCAGTTTCTTCATCACTGTCGTCATCTCTCCTGCCCTTCTTTTTGGTTTTACGTATCCGGATTTCTCTGGCATTTCCTCCACCACCTGCTTTCACACTGCCACTCCCCTCTGGAACACAGGATCAAATGTTTATCACTGGCTCATAGACAGACAGACTTTGTGTGGATTGTTTGTGAACCTGTTGCCTTCTTCCTGCGGTCTGCTTCCCTCTTCTCCTTTTTAGACAGGGCAGAGCTCTCAGACAACATGGAGGCCTGTTTCATGTCATCTTCTGTGATCAGAAACACTGGGTTGTTCTTAACCTCCTGTTAGACAAGTTTGGATGAAAAAGAGAAAAACTGTTTTAGGCACTCTTTTCGAGTGATTACATTTATAAAGGTGGTTTGCATAATTTGGCATGTACCTTCAAAGCCTTCTGCTGCATGGCTTCATCAAACAGAGAGAGGCAGCTGCTGAGGAACTTCTCACTAACCACTACAGTTCCTCCCAGGATTCGAGCAGAAGACTGGGCGTTGATGTTCCTCATGGCCTGGTTTATCAGTATGCCCACGTCCTCCTCAGACAGGCAGCTCGGCAGAATGGGCTGAACACGCACACAAACAATATAATGTATTTTTTTTATTCACAAGACTGCTGGCCTATTTGTGAAGCAGAGGATGGGAGGAAATGGAGCATGGCATAAAGATAAGAGACTAACACAAAAATAAAAATGTATTTGGCACACAAGAAAAAAATGTGCCACTGCCATTAGTGAAAGAGAAATAATTTAAATAACTCATTTATAATCATATTTCTCTATTTTGATAATATGTCCACTATATAGATATAATCTACAATACCAGAGGATCGTTATGTTCCTATACATGTTTCTAAATAAGAAAATTAAATTGGAGAATGAAGGAAGTGCAAAGCAGTGGACATATACCGATGATGGTGAAAATGGGGCAGTTTGGCAATATGACACCTTCAGGTGAGTAAATGGTGAGGGGAAACAACTATAACATGGTTAAAAGCTCTGAAAAGTCAATTTTGCAAAATATGTCTGCTTCAATGTTTAGACTAAATGCACAACCTTTGAAAGATAATGTTATACAATGACTAAAGACCACTACACTATTTAGTTTTTTCCAGGTTTAATATGGCCAAGTAAGGTGTAGTTAAGTTAAAGTCTAAGTTTTACCAGTGCATCTAATGTGTATACTGTAGTATACCTGGATATCAGTCCAAGAGCCCGAGCTGACTGCCTCCTCCACAGACCCCTCCACCTGGTCCACCAAGCCCTGGCCCACACAGGCTGCTCGTAGGAACAACAGTTTATTGGACTTGTACCGCTTCTTTATGTAGGAGCTGGGGTCAGGGATGCCCAGCCTTACCAGAGCATCAAACTCTGAAATACAGGTAAGCAGGAACAATGAGGAATAATAGCCTTATATTCAGCTCTTTTATGAGTGATGAATTGTGATCATCAATGTAATTCATGCATATAGTGTGTCACCTATCATTATTATACCATATATTCAATTTATGTGACAGCAATAGAGTAGTGTCGTTTTAGAATGCAACACTTGGTAATACACTCTGGCTGTCTGTTCAAAAGTTTGGCTCAGAACTTTAAGTCTTTTGGGGTTTGGTCGTCATGAAAGACCATGTGATGCCAGGACCCTCATAAAAACAAAGTGGCTAAACAACAAGATGAACTGAACAAGATATTGAATTGTGACCAGAATCAAATCGACTCTGTTTTGTCCAAGTTGTATCCAAAGCCACTAAACCCCCTAAATCGTACCTAAATATCCATTCTGTTGGAGGAAAGAGTCCACCCAGGCGTTCTGTGTTCTGGCATAAATATCAGGGATATAAACAGCTTTGTCCTGTCTGCCGCCAACAACCGTTCCTTTCAGACGTCCAGTGTTTACCAACTCCTCCAGGACAGCTGGTGAGACAGGCCTGCCATGTTAGAATACTCAATACTCCAGACAAAGTGTCAGTGTGCACAAACACTGGGCTTTCTTACAGTAGAGGAGATGCTCCTGGAATCCAAATGCCCCGATCATGCTGCTGACAGGTGTCGGCCTGAGCAAAAAACACAACAGAGACTTTCACAACACCACACACTGGGCAGTCTGCTCAAGTCTGCTGGCATTTTGAAGCTGAACCGTGGGAGTTTCTGAGTAACTGTTTGTAAAAGTGACACAATAGAAAACTCCTGTTAAGATGGCTAAAGTTACTGATTAACTGGCGCCTAACATCAACCTACAATTCTTGGACTGCACAATTAGGTTATTGTTTATTAAGATTCAGTGATTTCACAATGATACTCTCAAGTGTATTTATCTGAGAGGTCTTCAGCCTGAAAAATTAAGAAGTTTTTTATTTGTTTTTAATAAGAGAAAAAAGATCTGAAGTATGAATAATTATATGTCTAATATTATGTATGCAAACTTCAAATCTAACACAAATTTTTCTACTTTGAGAATTCAAAATTTAACTAACATCCTGCCTTCTCAGGACTGTGGTATGGTGAACTTATCAATAAAGGAGCTAAAATGAAGACTTCAGTAATTATTAAATGTACTACTGTGTTTGGATTTATTGTAGTAGAATAAAATCTAATATGTACATTTTTGTTGACTTGGTAAGTTGTGGTCAACCACAGGAAATTATACTGTATCTCTATTTTCCAACAAAACCTGTCATTTTCAAATTAACAATGGGCATGAGCAATACAAATTACAAAAATTTGAGCCTACCGTGTGATGGCACTGAAGAGACCCTGTATTCTGGCCTTGTGTCTGGCCACGAAAGCCTGAGTGAAGATGATGCCTCTGTTGTACTGGTCCATCTCTCCCTGGATGAGTTTCCCCAGACGCTTAGACAACTCCTGGAAAACATAAAAAAATATGTATTTATTGTCAGTATTTTTCTATAATATCATTCATATCATTTTAATATCACAACTCTACCACAGTCTTTCACCCACCTCAGTGAGAAAGTCACCCGGCAGGTCATAGCTCTTGCACAGTTCTGCTATGCTTATCAGACCAGCTTCCTGCAGTTTGTCATTCACCTCTTCAGCCAAACGGTCCAGGTATCCACTGCACAAAGAACATATTAAACATGTATTTCTATTTCCATCAATGCACAAGCACCCAGTCAAAAGAAAGTACATACTCGTCAATAAGTTGCCCCAAAATAAGCTGAATGCCTTGAGATCTGGCGATGTCACTGGCTCTGTTCTCAACATGCACCCAGTCCACATTAATGATCTGAAATTACACAAAAACAGAAGTTACTAACTTAAAGCTAGTAATGAACATTGATCCAATTGTTGTGAAGTGTATACTAATGGTGCTCAATATTGGGAAGAATACTTTGAAAATGTATTTTGTTATTTGTTGACTAAGGAATATCTGCATTAATGCATTCTGTAATGTATTCCATTACACGGTCCAACTAGAGAACTGTATTGTGAATACACATTTAATCACATTATATTATTGTTTAAAAAAATAATGCAACATCTGATTAATTTGTTATGCTTTTTTGATCACTGATGAAGGAAAAATTGCACATGCACTCACCGCAAGAGCAGTGTATTCTATAGCTTTGAACCACAACTTGCATTATCAAATACCCCCACGTGTTCGTTTGATTTTAGGAAAGTAACTGTTATTGTTACTGTTACTGTAACTCAAAATTAATATCCTGAAAATGTATTTTAGGTACATGTGTTTAGTTACTTTCCAACATTGTTTATACAACCTGAAGATGAATAGGACACTCAATAAATCATCATAATCAGTCATAAATCTGGCAAGCCCCACCTGCTGTAGATCCACAATATTGACACGTCCTGTAACATAGAAGAGACATGTTATAATATTAGATACCACCCAACATGGACGTGAATATGACAGCAGAAAAAAGCATTTCCATTTGTTACAGCTGGAACAACACTCACCCCCGTGCACGTACAGCTCATCCCGGATCTCTCTGCTGATCTGAGCCGGGGTGATGTACTCTTTACCGTCCAAAGTGTGCACCACGTCCAGTTTCTTGTCCTCCACCAATTTATTAATGATCTCAATGCAATTTCTCTCTGACAGCCTGGAAAAGAAGCAGTTTTAAACAAGTTAATTCTAATTGTAGTCCGCATCCACTATTGCACATCCACTGTTACACATAAAACACACTGATTTCTCAAATTTTATAGTTGTATCTTATAGTTTGTTGTACTACATGTGCTTTAAATCCATATTTGGACATTTGGACTTAGCCTCGGTGCTAACAGCTGTAGCTACTTACCTTTGCACCGTATCTGCAAACTGTGCTCGCTGGAAGTCCGCAGCCAATCGCCGAATTTCCTCCCAGTCCGCTGCCATTCTGGATTTTTATAAAACCTAAAAATTAAATCTGGGTCTAAAAGAAACCGCAATGAAGAGGGGCGTGTGTGCTGAGCTAACGGGCTAGCCACACGTCAACATACTGTGACGTACAATGGACAGTCGGGGAGGACAAAATTCAGGAGTGCGATTTTCGTTTGTAGTCACAATCTGTCTAGAAATTATCCTTTGATCAGCAAGTAAAGCCATAAAAAATAAATTAATACAAGTAAATGCAAATAGATACAAGTGAGAATTAATACTCAATTTTAATAATAATAATAATAATAATAATAATAATAATAATAATAATAATAATAATATAATAATAATAATAATAATAATAATAATAATGAATTTATTTTTGTTATTTATTATGCATTTAAAGATGCTCTAAATCTTGCGTAGAGAGTCCGCTGTCTGCTTGTTATTGTTTTGTCTGCAATATTTCACAGTATAAAACCTATTTATCTCTTATACATACAGGCCTATAGGCATATTTTTTGGCTAAATATACAATGAATAGGCCTACTGCACTTTCATACTGTAAGCGCCATCGCCCTTCCACAGATATGACCTGTAACTTGGCCTGGATGCGCCACCCATGTTTGCCTCCCTACGAATATAACAAGCAGGTGGTGGACCGTCTACAAAAAAAAAAACAAAAAAAAAAACTTTTTGCACCTTTAAGAAGCCTAGGGACTAAAGGCTTTTAAAATTAAATCAAAAAGTCTACATTTTGCCTCAAAGCCTTTTATTTTCGTTTGATTTCAGATGTATGTATTTATGCTTTAGTCATAGTGAATTATAGCTATTAATGCCAGTGCAGTGACCAGGTTCAGCCTCTAGAGGTCAGCCAACTATAGGAAATGTCCCATCGTAACATCGTCAGGGATGTGCTTTGGCACGCATTGCACATACCTTTCACGGTCAAAAATAAAAATAAACCCACAACGAAAAAAACACACTTAAACAATACTGTAACATATTCACAGAAGTTTGTTTTGCTCTTTATAATTTCTTCTTAACTCTATCATTTGCAACTGACTTGTAGTAGCTGTAGCAGTGTGCCTTTTTAATAAAGCACAGTCTTTGGTACAGTGAGACACTAATCAGGGCCCTGCAGCCAGTCTAAAAGTTGTAAGTAGATTTGCTCAAACTTTAGGATATATTATATGCTTTTGTGAGTTAAAATTTGTGCCTCCAGCAGAGATTAAAATGACCACTCAAGGTAAAGGGATATAATGCAGAATTATGAGATTAGAAAATGTATGGGGGCTACGTGGGCGGGAGATACAATATTGTAATGGTCCAAATGGAGTTCTGTCCTTCCTGAACTGCTATTACCATGTTTCAGTTAGGTGTCCATTATAAAACACATTCTTTTAAATGGTAGACTTCAGATTACAGTCTATAGGCAGTCTGGTTTGACTTTCTTCTGCACAGTGAGTGGGTGTCAAAAAGGTTAGGACACAATATAAAAAGTTAAACTAATGGTGTGGCTGTGAAGAGTGAAGAGAAAAGTTATATTTAGTTTAAAGCATGTAGGTGCAGAATGTTTTGCTCATTTTCAATAAAAAGTCCTATATGACACTAAATAGATTTGTTCGAGCTTTAAACCATGTTATAATGTTGTTACCTCACCAAAAACATACCCAGAGTTGTGTTTTGTTTCATTCACACATATTTGAGTAATCCTGTATTATTAGTCTGTCTTCATCTCCAAAGCTCAGAATGCTTTGCTCCACCTTGTGATGTCATGTAGTGGTAGTTTGCAAGTTAACAGCTACTTTTTAACTTTTGTTTAGTAGAGATCATCAATTCCAGGGCTGAAAGTTGCATGGAGTTTAAAAACACCATGGAACACTTCCTGTATGACATCACAAGTGTTTTCAGTTTGAGAGAAAAACTCAGCCAAAATATGCAGTCTTAGTGTGTTAAACATGTGAATGAAACAAAACAAAACTCCAGATATGTTTTTGATTGGGAAACAACATTATAAGAGATCAGAAAATAGCATAATATGGACCTTTTAAATAAATAAAGAATTAAAATCCAATGCCCCTCTTCTGTACTGTACCGTCATAACATAATGTGTACAGAGCTCAGGGACCAGATCTTAGTCATATTTAGCATAAAGGAACTAAAGTAATTTTTAAAGTTGTGTCACAGAGTTCAGATCTTAATTGCCTTGGTATTTGTAAAGTAATGGTTGTCATCACCCTCTTTTGAAAAGCAGACTTATCCCGACCTGACTGTAGAAAATAGCTTGACAAATGTAGGTCAAATTTCCTCTGAGAAGGCGCCTCGCTGTGTGAAATGTGTTCTAATGAAGGTGCGTGTTTAGGAACGCAATATAAAGTCTCCAGCATACATACTGAGGGAATAATACTACAAAATGCTGATTTGTGGACTTCTTTTGTCAAGAGTAGAGTTTTGTGAAGAGTCTTTTTGTCTTAAATTAAAGGGCCCATATTACGCTATTTTCTGATCTTTGTTAAAATGTTGTTTCCTCATCAAAAACATACCTGGAATTGTGTTTTGTTTCATTCAGACATGTTAAACACACAAACTTTGCTAAATTTAGGCTGTGTTCTTCTCATAAAACAGAAAAAACTCCACCTTCTGGTGTCATGTGGTAGTACAGGACATGCTCCACTGTGTTTTTAAACCCCATACACCTGCACCTTTAGAATCATTTGGATGATTTCAGTCGTGGATCTTTTCTAAACAAAAGGTAAAACGTAGCCGTTAACTTGAAAACTACCACTACATGACATCACAAGGTGGAAGAGAGCATTTTGAGCTTTGAGATGTAGACAGACTAATAAACCAGGATTACTCAAACATGTGAATGAAATAAACCACAACTCCAGGTATGTTTTTGATGAGGAAACACAAGAGTCAATTTTGAGTAATATGGGACCTTTAACTTGAAACTACAAATTTTAGTGTTTTAGATATCCACATTTGGGAGATAGTCGATGCAAGATCTTGAACTTTGTCTTAAGTTCTGGTTAAAACAAACAAATGAAAATACTATTCAACCTATTAAATCACATCTAATATAAGACTAATTTGCAAGGTCACGACAATAAACCTTGCACAAACCCTGTCTCTAGTCTGTTTTTTATGTGTTAAGACAAATGACAGCTCCTCCGGTGTGAGTATGCGAACAGAGTTTATGATGGACATAAATTGGCAATGACTATTATCCAAAGAGCACAGGCACATTCCAGTGTAATCAGGTTACATAAAGAAGCTTCATCAGATATCTTTGATTGAATTCCACTGTGAAAATGTGCAAAATGAGTTACAGAGGAAATCTTTTGAATACCTGGATGAATTCACTACAGTTTTATTACAAAAATAGTACTTTATATATTTTTTGCTGCTTATATTTGTGTTAGGCTTAAATTAATTTTTAATGATTGTAAACTAGAAGCATTCAGCACAAAATTTGGGCCCTTGGTGCAAAACGTTTTTCCAGGAGCCCATTTTGTTTTTATTTTTACAGATTGGTCTCCATGAAGACAGAAAGGTTTAATCCCATATTGTGAAACATTCCAGACTCCATGGAGAAAGCATTTGGCAGACACTTTACTAGAAAAGTTACACAATTCACCTTTAATCTAATCAGAATGCTCAGAATGCTATACCTTCACTTCTACATTCTGAAGTCACTCTGGCTACTTTCCACCTCTAACTGTGACTGACACACGGCAACATAAACTTGTGTCGAATCATTTTGCTCCTCTGGCACCGTTCTGATACTTGCTGAACGTATGCTAATATTTCCTACCCTAAAGTGCACCCCAGGGAGCTGCCAGCTGTTCCCCTGGGCGTGTGGATGTTCCATGTGGCTCCGTGTGGTGCCGTGTCTCTTCAGGTTAAAAATACAGGGGAGTGAGAGCGCAAGGCGTTTACTGACACCGGCTGGATTCCGACACTTGGGCGCTCACGGCTCTATGAGGAGGCTCCAGGTGCGAGTGGGCGGTGTGCTGCTCAGATCCCCACAGCTGCGGGTGAACGCGAGTGGGAGGAATGCACTTATTCAAGACCGCAGAGCTGCCTTTCACAACAGCCACTCAGAAAGTGTGTTTATTTAAGGACATATGGAGCAAAGGCCATGTATTCAGAGCAGAACAGAAGAGTTATTAATTGGGTTTAAAAATTGGAATTGTAAATTTCACAAACATGCACTAACTGTGTCCCCAGGTATGAGGTCAACATGTCCAAATCAGGTATTGCCTTTGCTGATAACAATTTTAATATTAACTTATTCTTAATTACAAAAACATTGGACAGTGTGTGATGGTCAAGTTGTTTATGTTATAATTTGGTATTTTGGATTTCACAATGATCTTAAAAAGGTTTAAATCTAAAACTTGATCTGAATGGTCACTACCTAAAGCCCAGCACCTGCAGTCAGTCCTGAATCAGTGCTAGTGCAGCCTCTGCAGCTCAGTGAGGGGATTCTGAAGGTTCTGAACTATCACGTGAGGCATGGTGTGTCCATATACTGAGAATGAGAAAAAAACTTGCAGGTTTAGACTCAGCTAAACCAGATTCAATAGTGATTGTACACCTTTTTTTAAACCAGTCAGAGCCTTTAAGTGGTTCAGTTGTATTGATCTTACTGTTATGGTAGTGTTACACTGGGAAGAAACACGTTTGATACCTGCAGTACCTGGAAACAATCCTAATACATCTTCTTTAAAAACCCTGTGAACCTTTACAACTGATCAGAACCATATTATTAAAACATATGTTTACATTTTTGCAAACATTCTCATGTCAAACATTGTGTAATCACTTTATTTTGTGCGGGAGCAGGGCTAAAACAACACACTAGCTCTAGTTAGAAATGTGATATACCCAGCTCAATTAGTCTCATTATTTCATTACATAATGTTCGTTACTCCAATAATCAAATGAACAACTTCATCAAAGTGTATAGCAATCTGATTAGCTGAGTCGCAGCAGGAGAGGCTCACGATGACATTTGATGATAGGATGGCATTCAGACATTATTACAATATAAACAGTAGCTACTTTTACATGGAACGATCAGATCAGAACTAAAATAAGCAGATGTCCTGATAATTATTCTG